GCTGGGGTCAAGAACCCTCCTCAGCCTGTCCCCACCACTTCCAGCCCTGACCCCCATACCACCTGGAGGACCACTCCTCTGGCACTCAAGCAGCCCATCTGCCACCTAGTGGAGCAACTCAGGTAAGTGCACTGAACTGTCAACGGGTGTCTTACCTAAAGGTGGCTCCTGAATTATTTTCCCTTAAATGCAGTCTTAACTTGGAGAGGAGAAATAGTTCCATCATCTTAACAGTGGTGGGACTGCTCCCTATGGTTGCTGAAGAAAGGGATGTTACCTGGAGCCCCCCCGGGGTTCCCTCTAGGTTTGATTGTGCAAGTCAGTGGTGATCACATTTCATAGGTTCCCAAACCTGCAGCCATGGTTGTTACAGGTGTGTCATGGCTGTCATCCCCTCAGTGCACCTGGAGAGGTGACACAAATGCACCTGACATTACTAACCTTGGCACATAATCACAGTATAACAGGGGTGTCAAACTCATCTTCACTGGGAGCCACATCAGCCTCACAGTTGCCTTCACAGGACTGAATGTAATTTTAGTACTGTACAAATGTAACTACTCCTTAACAGTCAAGCAAGATCTCAGTGCTGCTGCCAGATAGAAACAAGGTGCCAGGCCTGATAAAACATGGTGGAGGGTTGGATTCGGCCCGTGGGCCTTGTGTTTGCCACCTGTGCACTATAACCAAACTGTATCTGACATCATCCACGTTGGCCTATCTCCAGGGTGAAGTACCTGTACCTGGATATCATTACAGTGTAGGGTCAGCATCACGCCAAGTTGTGGATATGAAACAAGTATTGAAGAATTGACATGCCTTGCCTGAGTTCACAGCCTCCTCTGTGCTCATGGTCCCCACATTTGGGCTGAACAAGCTACCTGGCAGAGTTGGCCCCAGGAGAGTCGTCTGCAGCATCCCTTCTTCCCAAAGGTGAGAGCGGGTCTCCGCAGAGAGAAACAAGGGTGTGAGGCAGAAGGTGCCCTGAAGAGAGCGGCAGCAGCCCACTGCCACCCTCCTCCACACAGAGAATGGGGAGAACCCCTGCCCATTACACTCAAAGGCCACTGTTGTCCCTCCTGGTCCCTAGTCCATGCGCCTCTCCAGTTTAGTTGTGACATTTTGGAGCTGTGGTTTTAGTAGTTCTCTTAGAAGACTTCCCTGACACACAGGCTGTGGGGGCACTGAGTCCCTGTGTATTAACCCTACTGTGTGCTGGGCCCAGAACCAGGGGAGGCCTGGAAGGCATGCTGGCTAGCCCTGGTAGCTCCAGCTGTCCATAGTAGAACCCACAGCAGGGCCCTAAGAGGCCACCAGAGTTGGCTGAGACCCTGGTGGTGGTGAGCGGGGCTCTTCCTCATTGCAGATGATGGTCGAGTGTAGAAGGAGCTGGATGGTCACATGGAAGTAAAGGGACAGGTATAGAACACCTTTTTCTCCCAGGATGTCAGACCTTGGGATGGAGACAAGGACTGGGAGGGCAGATCCAGCTGTGCTATCAGTCCCTGCAGGGTGGCTATGGCCTTTGCAAGTTCCTGTCCCTGCCCACAGTGCTGGGAAGAGCACTAGGAGCTGAGGTTGGTGGGTCTGGGCCAGACAGGGTAGGGACAGGTTAATAGATAATAGAAACATCCAAGAGCCAGACCCCAGATTTGGAGAACATATACACAGTGGCGGACAGCAGCAAATACCCAGGTGCAGAGGCACCGAGGGGGTGGGTGGGGAGAGAGGAGTTGGGGAAGACAACATGCAAGACAAACAAGAGTTGTTCATGTCAACAAGTGGCTCAGGGCTTCCTGTGCCCAGGAAGAGGGGACAGAATGTTCCCCACGTGCACAAACACAGCAGCAAGGCCGAGCTGGCCACAGCAGCCATGCTGATGTAGGAAGGACTGTCAGGGCTGGGGTGGGGCAGCAACGCAGCTGCACACAAGGCAGGGTCATACCTGCACTGAGGGCCCACTTCCCAAGGAGGTTGGACTTTATTCCGAGGGCAGTGAAGGACTCTGGGCCAAGGAGGGACAGAATCTGATCTGTGGCTGGGGGACAGGCTGGGGGTTCCCAAAAGCAGTACCTGACTCTGGGGATGTGGGTCCTGTGTGCAATTCCAGTGATGGCCTAGAGTAGCAAGGAGAAGGTGGACTCCAGACCCTCTCAGCAGGTGGGTCCTCCGGGGTCAGGCCGAGGGAAGGCTGGGCTCTGGAGGGGGAGAGGAAGGTGGAAAGAGGGCACCTCTCAGAGCCAGGGCATTCACTGCTGCGTAGCAAGCCATCCACACTGGGAGTCATCTTCCTCACATAAAATGAAAATGCCGAGGAAGTAGTAGCCGGTGTTGGTCCAGCAGTTACCAGTGCCTGGCCAACGTCTGTGCTACCTCCTTGGTGGTAGCCCCGGCCATGACGTCCTTGTTCAAGGCAGGAGGAGGAGAGGGCAGAGTGGTGGGTGTGATGGTGTCTGCCCGGGGCACCACTTTAGGTGAATGGTCCCCTCAGTGCTAGGGAGAGCAGTCGCCACTATCACCTTGTGTGCCCCCATCCCTGGAAATGACCTGGCACCAATGACACTGACGTGGGAGACAAAGACCCCACCCTTTTGACTCAGTCAGGCAGGACAGCTCTGTAAGGGCAGCCTGTTCATGGGGCCAAAGCCGCAATCTCACCACAGGCCAGCTCCCCTCTGCTTATCCTACCTCCCTCGCCCGTTCCAGTTCTTCTCCCCAGAGGCTCCTCAGTAAACCAGCACACACATAGCCCCAGGCTCAGAGTCTGTCCCCAGGAACTTAATTTAAGACACACAGTCATGTCTGACTCTTTCATCAGGAAAGCAAATGTTTCCCAGACCCTTGACCCCCGCCCTACCTCCTGCCAATGTCCACTTCCTTCTCAGTGGCCAGAATTAACCCTCACCAATAGCAGGACCAAGGGAGCAATGAAGAAGCCAGAAATGGGTGTCAGGGGTCCTGCCTGTCACATACCTTAATTTTTCAGCCTGGAGCTAATGCAAAAGTGGGAAGAGAGTGGCTCAGGACTGGCGGACATTCCTGGGATATCATTCTGAATGTTTTGATAAATGGGTCATATTTTCTGTGCTCCATGCTTTGCAAGTTTTTCCTTAGCTTTAGGGTCAAAGTAAGGAAGAAAATGTGGAGAAACACTCAGGGTGACTGACGTTTAAGACCCTGACCTATGACCTGAGCATGCAGCGTCTGGCATGCAATCGGAACAGTCTCCTCTGTGAGGTGAGGATGTGGTGTCACTGAGCTGCAGATACAGGAGCGGGCCTGGTGCGGGAGACTGGGGGGTGGGGCAGAGCTGCACGGCAGCAACGGCAGGGATGGGAGAGGCAGATGGGCAGGGACTGCCCCGCTGCTCAGATCCCCTGGGAGACACAGGGACAGGCTCTGGAGCAGGGGTGAGTCAGTGGACTCAGGTCACAGGGATACTATAGGGCTGGTGGAAACCAGTGTGCTTCCTGGATGCCCCTGGTAGGTGTGTCACAGTGAGGAGGCATCGAGGTGGGGCTTTGAGTCACCCCAGGTGCTTTATCACTAAACCCAACAGTCTCCTGTGATAAAATACACACGTAGGGCAGAGACGGGCTGACAATCTGGGCTTAAGCTACAGAGATAAGCCCCAGCACAATGAGGATGAGGTCTGTTAGGTCAGGAAGAGTCAAGTAACTTAGTTCCTGGGAGCTAAGCCTTTGACAGGGTGCCCTGGCATCACCATGGATAAGCCACACATTTCCCCAGCCGGAAGCTGCTGACAGGTGAACTGCTGCTGTGTACTGTCTGGTCTTGGACAGAGGCCAAGACATACAGCCTGGGGATGGAGACAGAGGGCCAGGGGTGTGGGAGCAGGGGGCTGTTCCTCCTCTAACATCCCCGGAAGGACCAGCTAGGAAGCATCTAGCTCTGCAGGTTTTGGGGGAAATCAGCAGATTGGTGCTGCTTTCTCCCCGCCCATCAGGTTGACCTGAGCCTGCGTGTGGTTCTCCAAGATCTGCGTCCAGCTTTCCTTGAGATGGGCTCCACTCCACATCCGTAACCTGGAGGCCAGTGGCAGATTTAGGAGCGGGGCAGGGGACCCACACCTGTTGTTTAGGGCTTTTCCAGTCTGGCTCTGCCCAACCCCAGAGAAATGCTGTTTTTCACATTGTAATGTTTTTTTATTGTTTCATCTCTGAAAGATTGTAGCCCAGTTGCTGACTTCCTGGGTCAGAGCTGCAAATCCAACCTACTCCCAGCTTGCTTAGCATGGCGCAGGGGTGTGACTGGCAGGCCCCTGCGACCACATGCGTGGTGCTCAGGAAGTGGTGTGGGGTGTCTTGGTCTGAAGTTGTATGACACCCTGAGCCATGAACTTGGGTGCAGGATGCCGGGAGCCCCCTGGGAGAGCGGGGTGCATATGGAAAGTGGGGTCCAGATGAGCTAAAGATTATGCCCTGGCCCATGGGGTGCACTCCTGCTGGGGCGCCTTGGGGTCTTCCCTGCAGAAGATGGGAGGCTGGGGAGGGCCAGGAGGGGACCATTCCTTAAGGTAGGAAGGTGGCAGCGAGCTGGGAACTGTATCAGTTACAGGGGAACTATGTAACTATGGGCTGGGCCCATAGTGTCTGCCCAGAGAATGTGGGGCCTGCAGGGCACTGGGAGAGGACTGCGCCCTAGGGAGAAGAGCAGCAGCAGCAGGCAGAGAGCTGGCCCAGGGCCTGCTCCCTGCCCACTGGAGCTCCTCCAGCCCCGGCCCCACCGGCCCAGCCAGGGTGCCTCCAACTTTGCCTCAGCTGTATGAGTTTGGTTCTAGGACTTGTACCCAGACTATCCTTCCTAAGGTGGAGATGCTGCCACAAGCCCAAACCCTGGAGACAAATGTAGCCTCCCCACATGGCTGACCAGTGGGCTGGGCCCTGGAAACCTCCACTGGGCTTGTGTGGAAACTGCTGCCGGGACCTGAAACAGGCTAGTTCCAGCTTTTACATCGCCAAAGTGACCCACTCGTTATGTGTTACTGTATGAACACCGTTTATTTGGATGTGGCTACTCAGTAAGTATTGAACAGTGCTCACCCCAGACAGCTGCCGGGCGAAAGAGAGAAGTGGTGGTTTTTCAAGACAGCGGGGCAATTAGGAAGTGCAGTCAGTGGTAGTGAAGCCAGTTTTCTCTCCAGTGACTCCCTGTCCCCACCCCCACCCCAGGAGCAGATAGAAGAAGACAGTAACTGTGAGCCCTTGAATTAGCTGAGACATGTTACTCCACGTCATAACTTATTTCATGCAAAGTGACAGCAGGTGCGTGCAGTTATGGACTATGCCTGACTCACGAGGCCAGGAGACCCACGGTGGGGCTGAACAGTGTGGAGAAATCCCAGATGCACAGCTTTCTCATGAAAAACATTTACTGTGAAACCAAGCACCTCGATTTTATGTCTCTGTGTGCACAACACCAGTCTTTTTGTTGAGAATGGTCCAAAAGCCAAATGCCGCCATGTGTCCAGCCTGTGCGAGCCCCTCACTTCAGGAGGCAGCAGAGTGGGGGTCCTTTCTCAGCCTCCCAAAATGTCCCGCATACCTTGACAGTAGCCTAGAGGAGAATCCTCGCACAAAACATCCTGCCTGCTTCCTTGAAGTTTTGTGAGAGATGAGGCGGCTTCTGGCCCTTGCGGCGTGGGGTCCTGGAGGCTTGACTCAGGTGTTCGGCAGTCATGCGGTTTTCTGAGATGGCCTCCCCTCTCCTCCCCACCAGTCTCTCTGTATAACAATTTTGTAGAGTCAATCACTCATTTTCCTGCAAATCCACCGTCCCAAATCGTATCCCAAAGCCGGGGAGGAAGGGGACGGGACTTGGAATGGCGGGTGGCAGCATGCTGCAAACCCGAGCCTCTCTGCCAGACAGGGAAGGGGCCACATCTGCACAGAGGTGTGGGGGCACTGATGGCACCATTCTGGCTTTAAGAAACTAAGACTGGATGCTCCCATACACCTGCTCTGGAGACCCTAATTGCTGAGACCGAGTCTCTGTCAAGGTGTGACGCTGGTGGGTCAGGATTCTCAATGGTAAGGGCTTTGGAGGCTAGTTTCCTGGAAGAGCTACATTCATTGTCAGATAATCCTAAGAGCTGGTTGGTTTCCCAGGCAAAAGACAATAACAGCCTTTTCATTTTCATCATAATGGATTAAAATGTCCAAGAGGACATGCAGAGTGTGACTTCATCACTCAGTCTGAAAAGATGGTCTGTTAGTCCCACTGACGTTTTGTTGATCTACTTATCATCCAGATGGCAAATGCTGAAACGACCTTTGGGAGCCAATGACCCAGGCTTTAAAGGAGCATTTTGCACAGGGCAGGACTCCTTGGTTCCTCAGTGGTAATAGATGCTGAAGGCGTGGAGGATGTAGAGCAGGGTGGTGATGAAGGCGAAGAACTGGAAGGGGATGAGAGTAACTGTTACAGACAGACAGTGCCAGATGCTGCCCGCCCCTCTGAGGGGCGCTCAGCCCCTGAAGCCCAGGTGACCATGTTCTCTGACCCTGCTGTGTCCCCTGTCCACCTGAGGACAGCAGCCACTGGCCAACTGCTCCCTCCTCCCTGAAACTGCCCACTGTGGGTACCCTGACACTGCACTCCCGGCATCCTACTTGGCCTCAAGTGCAGGCCTGTACTTCTCTACCGGCCACAGAGCAGCTTGTCTCCCTCCCTGCCATGGACCCTCTCTCTCATGCTGTCCTCTAGTCATAGTATCTCCCCCTATTACCTTCTGTCACCATCTGTGCTCTGACGACTCCCACAGTTTCACCCACCAGCCCAGAATCCACTCTGAGAGCCTGTGATCAGCTCCTCAACAAAGTCTCAGAGGCCCCTTCAGCTCTCAGTAGTCCAGACTGAGCTCCTGAGATTTCCCCATAAGCTGGATGAGCTCAGTCTACTTCAGGACCCTCATCCTCTCCAGCTCCACACACCAGAAATCTGTGACCTCGCCCCCACTGACTCCTCCCTCCCCTCCCTGCCACAGCCACAGTCAAAAGTCATCTGACTGCACTGCCGGATGGTCTTGTGCTGCATCAACTTCTCTCTCGCCTCAGTGCCGTCATCCCTCGCCGGGACTTCTCATGACCTCAACTTGTCCACTTCTGCCCACCCTGCCCCTCCAATCTGCCCGAAATGAGTATGTGAGCTTGTTTAACCAGCATGTGATTAAAAACATATGATGGGCCCTGGCCTGGTAGCTCAGTTGGTTAGAGCATTGTCCTGATATCCCAAGGCTGCAGGTTCAATCCCTGGTCTAGGCACATACAAGAATCAACCAATGAATGCTCAAATAAATGGAACAACAAATTGATGTTTCTCTCTCTCTCTCTCAAATTAACATAAAAAAATCTTTATGATGATTCCCACTTCTCAGGATAGAGTCCCTTGCCGTTAACACACATTCAAGACCTGGCCAAATGCTCCAGCCTGAGTCCTGCTGTCCACTCACACTCTGTTTTCATTCATTCATTCATTCATTCATTCAACAGATATCTTTTAGGCACCTGCTATACTTCAAAAGCTACAGGGCTGTAAGAGTGACCATTCAAAAACTGTTGTCTTCCAGGACCAAGGGTGTCCTTGCCAAGGTCTTGAGGCCAGAGCACATCTTGTGTGTTCCAGGGGCAGCATGGAGGCCAGTGTGGCTGGAGCAGCTGAGAGTGAGTGGTGCTGGGCCAGGCCTTGAAGGGCCAGGGCCCATCACCGGGGTGGCAGTTGAAGGGAGGTAAAATAGTTCAGTGAGAAGGGCAAGCAGGCAGACAGGCTGGAAAGGCAGCTGAATCCTTGTGGCCACCCGAGTGTGTCATGGTGCTTGCTTGGCATCCCATTCTTATGCTAGGATAGCACCCCATACTGTGCCCTTTGACACCTAATCCTATGGGAGCCCCCAATGAAACAGACTTGACCTTTCTGGCCATAGTGACTGGCCACAGTGACTTGGAGCCAGCTGGGCACCAGAGTCCTGCCTTGGAAGTTTTCAAGGTGAGGTTAAGGAATGTTAGTCCTGTTGGAGGAATAATCTGCTGGCTGTGAGCTTCCTGCCACGCGAGGGCACCATACCACAAAGGGAGAGAGGAGGCCGCAGTGGAGAGACCTGGAGGGACAGCAAAGGGACCTGGAGTCTGGTCCTTTGGACCTAAGGTCTAGGGGTCCTACTTGTCCCACCATTTGGCTGGGCTAGTTTGCCTTGGGTCCCCTCAGCTGATAAGTTACTGCCGTGGACTCTGTCACTGAAATAAAAGGACACCTGGACAGTTCAGCCATGCTGAGGAACCTGGACTCCACTCCACAAGCAGTGAGACCCACTGAAGGATCTTCAGTGGGAGAGATGGGCACCCCAATCTGTGTTTTACAAAAAAAAAACAAACCAAAAAATCCCCCAAAACCTGAGGGTAGTGAAGTGGGTAAAAGAGGTCAGAGGTAGGAAAAATGGAAGACAAGAGGTGACACCTGTGCATGGGCCTGGAATACATGCTCTCTCTCTCACACACACACACACACACACACCCACACCTCCTCCCGTCCTCCAGGCCTCCATCAGCCCAAGGGCTCAGGAGGCAGAACCAAGCCTCCTGGGGCCCCTCCCTATGGCCGTCAGGTCTCCGGTCCAGCACGCACCGAGGCTGCAGTGTTTATGAAGTAGTTGTTTAGGTCCTGGGTCTCAGAAACAATGGTGGCATGGGCCTGCAGGACAGCCGCACTCATGTACAGGATGCCGGTGGTCCCATGGTACAGGCTGTCCTGGAAGGGCAGAGCAGAGACCACGTCATGTGGGCACTTATGCCAGTGAGCACTTTCCTCTGAATACACCACTGGGAAGAGTGAGAAAAAGAGACAGGCATGCCCCCCAGCTCCTGCCTCTTTTGTTTTTGCAGTGTTTCTAATGAATATCTATGTAATGAATAATAGTGGATTAATAAACAACAGTAATAATATCAATACTAGCCAACATCGATTGATAGCCTATTCTGTGCCGAACTCTAGGTTAAGCATTTTTCTCATTTCTCTCATTTAACTTTGTCAGCAATAAGATAGTTCCTATTTATCATTAGTAACATTTCAAGGAAATGGAAGCAAGGTTCAGATCAATGAACAGATGTCTGAACTCTGCTGGGTTGCTTGGTTGGTTGGAGTGTCGTCCCATACATCAAAAGGTTGTGGGTTTGATTCCCAGTCAGGGCACATATCTAGGTTGTGGGTTCAACTCCCAGTCGGGCCATGTATGTGAGGCAACTGATCAATGTTTCTCTCTCTCTCTTCCCCTTTGTCTTTCTCTAAAAATCAATGAACATATCCTCAGGTGAAGATTATAAATAAGTAAATAAATAAATAAATAAATAAATAAATAAATAAATGGCTGAGCCAGGATTTGATCCCAGGCCATACTAACTCCAAGCCTATGCTCTCAACCATTAGTGTTATGAAGACACACTGTGTGCTGGGCACTGTCCCAACAATATACATGTATTATCTCATTTCATTTCACAGCTAATCTCATGAGGCTGCTCCATTATCATCTCTGTTTACAGAGAAGGAAATTGAGGCTGAGCTCACGCACGGTAGAGTTGGTGGAGTTGGCTAATCTGACCTGAGATTTCAATATTGGAACTTCTATACTGACCTCTAATCAGTGTTCTTTAGCTCAACAAGAATGTCATGCAGCCATTAAAAATGGTTATCATCTCTGGAAGGAAAGTCATCATAGGCGAATCGGTATTTTGCATCTCTGAAAGGAATATTCAGTTCAGGAAAACTCACCAGAAGATGAAAAAAAGCATTAGAGAAAAAGTTGATGGGGTAAGACTGTCACACTCTCCAAGAGAAGTGCCACCAGACACTGTGTGAGATGTGACTTGAAGTCACTTATGGAGCATTCTTGCCCTCAAGTTTCAACCCATTTTCAATAAGCCTTTAATACTAACTTCCAGCTTACAGAAAGTTTAGGGACTAGAGGGACAAGTCGAGTTATGTCAGGAAGAAGCAAACAGACAAATCCAAAAATGGGGGAACTCCTACAGGACAACTGACCCCGTTTCTTCAACAGGTCATGGGCAGGGGGAACCATTCGAGACTAATGGTACCCAGGAACTGTGGCTGCCGCGTGTGACACATAGCCCTGCTGAGGCTTCTGGCTCAGACAGCCAGCGTGAAAAGAGGTGTTTCAGATATGACTGGGGAAATCTGAGAGTGACCTGGGTGTTAGATGACACCGAGGAATTACTGTTAACATTGTATACGTGTGGAAATGCAAGAAAACTGAGTATTTTTGGAGGTGTAGTGAAGTGTATGGAATGGAATAACATGAGATTTGGGGTTTGCTTTACAATTCTTCAGGGAAAAACAAAAGCAAGGAGGGCAAGTGTGGTAAATCTTGATAATGCTGGAATCAGGGTTATGGGACATGAGGGTCTGTAATATAACTCTCTAAACTTTTGTGTATATTTTAAGTTGTTCAATATAGAAAAAATTTAATGGTTATTAAGGTGTGACAACATGAAAAAATTAATGATATAATATTAAATTAAAGAATGTACACCCAAATTATTGGTTCAGTGTGATTAAAATATATACACATTTTGTGCAAAACTTGTGCAGAATATGGAGGAGTGAACCCAGTGATTGTGATAGGACCTTGAGACTGGGGAGACTTTTCTCCTGCTAGCATTTCCTTCGATGTTGCCCCACTGATTTTATCCAAAAAAAATTGGGGGAAAACATGTTAGGATGTGTGTGACACAGGAATACAGTCAACCTTTGACTGACACAGATTGGAACTGTGTGGGTCCCCTTAAACGTGTATTCCTCAATAAATCGTGCAAATATATTTTCTCTTTCTTATGCTTTTCTTAATAACATTTTCTTTTCTCTAGCTTAATTTATTGTAAGAATATAGTATATCATACCTATAACATACAAACTATGTGTTAATCATCTATGTTATTGGTAAGGCCTCTGGTCAACAGTAGGCTATTAGTAATTACATTTTGTGGAGTCAAAAGTTGTTAGTAGGTTTTCAACTGTGTGGGAGCTGGGGGTCCCTAAGCCCATGCTGCTGAAGGGTCACCTGTACACAGAATGTGTACATGCCTGTCGAGGAAGTCATAGGAGGGGAGCACAATCAGATTTGTTCTGGCAGAGCAGTGCTTTCATTCCAGTTTAGCAGTAAAAGCATTAACACAAAAAGTCTTGGTTCTATGGGGGCCGCCCCAGAAAGCTGTCTCTTTCTCCCTCTGCACCTAGAAGGCCCATTGTCCCCACGACACCCAGGACACCAGTCTTAGGGGAGCCCACGGGCCTGAGTCCCCTCGCTGGTTCTTACCAGGACTCTCCAGGACTCAAATCTCTTGTAAAATCCGAACAAGTAAGACAGCAGGAACATGAGGGAGATGAGGAACGAGGTCAGTGAGACATAGATCACCCATCCTTGCAGCAGCGGGTTTGCCACTTGGGTGGCGGCCACCAGGATCCAGACCCAGCACCCGGATGCCTGCAAGAGAAAACAGTTGAAGGAGAGGCTTCATTAGCTTGTGTGAGGAGCATTTCCCTACATGGGGTCTCTCTCCACTGTCTCTGGTTAAAAGTTCTTCAGGAGAAGTTAGATGGAAATTGAGGGAAGCGGGGAGGAAGGCTGGCCCCCTGAGTCACAGTAAACTTTGTTAGAAAACCAAGGGGTTAGCACAGAGATTGCCCACAGAAGGACTTGGCTAAATTTGGCCTGGGGACATATCTGCTTGGCCCAAACAGTGTTGGCATCTACTGTTTCAAATGTGTCTGAAAGAATGGTCAACATTTAAAATGAGATATTTCACATGAGAAATCCAGATTTCAGCCATTTCTTGAGAAATCCATAGTTCTGGCTAGAGTAAACCCTTTTCCCAGGCAAGCATAGGCTGAAATGACCCAGTGTCCTCAGGGGACCACATCCCCCTCCACTGCAGCCCCACGCCATTGTGTGGCACATTCTGTCGCTCACTTTCACTGTGGAAGAGTACTCTCCTTATCCTGGCTCCTTCCACCCACTGACAGTGACTGCCTGGCCCTGTGGGCACTTGGTTTGGTGCCCCTTCCCCCAGGTTACAGTATCGGATGCCCTGGGGTCCATTACCAGCTGGGCAATACAGTTCCAGTTCAATCACTTCTCAACCATGTTCAGCCATTTATTGCCCCCTTGGTGAGAACAAAACCTTTTTCCTGTCTTCTCTGGGCTCTGCCTTTGCTTTTGGACTGGGCCTGTACCCCTGTTGGTGAGCCCAAGGGAGGAACTACATTTCACTAGATACATGTCTAGTTAGAAGCCTCGAGGAGAGGGTCAGAAAGGTTCCAAGTGGTTTTGTTGTTGGTTTGTCTCTGGTTCTCTGAGTAACTCTCCTTCCTGGGGCCTCCTTAGGATGTCCTTGCTAGCCTCCTCATTCTCTTTCTTTCTCTTTATTTTTAGTCTTCACAGAAGGATATGTTTATTGATTTGAGAGGGAGAAAAACATCAGCATGAGAGAGAAATATCAATTGGTTGCCTCCCATATGTGCCACAACCAGGGATTGAACCCGCAACCTTTTGGTGTCTGGAACGATGCTCCAATCAACAGAGCTGCTCAGCCAGGCCTCTCCCTCTCTTCACTCCTGTTAAATCTGTGCTTTAAAGGACCACATAGGCTGGATCCCAAGAACCAACTGCCAGTCCATTTCCCTCAGTGGGGAAAACCTTCAGCCCCACACATTCACCCATTTGCCTACCAGATGTCTCTACACTCTGTAGAGGGTACCCCTGCACTTGCCTGATGCTGAAAGTGAGTTCCTCATTACACCTCACTTGACTCAAGCACCTCAAATCCAACAGGTACAAAACCTGAACTCATTGTCACTCCCAAATTCTTTCAGAACCCACCTTCTCCAGCATCTGCTGAGAATGGCCCTCCTGAGGGACAAAGAACTGTGGAGCTGGGAACGGGTGCACAGAGGCCTCCAAAGATACTGATAATGCCCCATTGCTTGCACTGCACAGTGAGTACACAGGGATTTATCTTTTATAAAGTAATAAAATAATTCGGCAAAGAGGAAGACCTTGTTGGGTATGACCATTGGAGGTCTGGGTTGATGGCGGGGAGCCGAGGTTTTCTCCTGGGTTTGTATTTGGAGAAGTCACATCACCAGCTTTTGAACTTTCTATAGAGTCACTGCAATCAAAAGAGTTGTCGGTGCAGGTGACATATTTCTGCCCACCTTCGAAGACAGCTCCCCTCTTTCCCAGGTCTGTCACTTTTCCACACAAAGTTCAGAATCAGCTTGTCAATGTCCGAATGGGATTTTGGTTGTGCTGAATCCGAAATCAATTGGGAGAGAACTAACATCTGTTCTACATCGAGTCTTCCAGTCCATGAACAAGGCATGCCTCTCCAATTACTAAGATGCTCTTTGAATTTTTTAAATCAGTATTTTTTAAGTTTGGGGCATTACAGATGCTGGGCACATTTTCTTATATTCATGCCTTAGTATTTGATTTTGGGGGAGCTACTGCAAATAGTATTGCTTAACATTTAAAGAAATTCCCCAGTTGCTCATTGCTAGTGGACAGAAACAGGGTTGATTTCATGTGTTGGCCACACAAGTGTATCCTGTCACTTGCTGAACTCACTTATTGTTAGTTCAAGAGGGGTTTTTGGTTTTTTAATTTTTGGTGGTAGTTTGGTATATTCCTTGGGATTTTCTGTGTATATTACTAATGAGATTGAGCTTATTTTCATGTATTTCCTTTTCTGTGAAATTTTTAATTTTTTCCCAACTTCTTATGTTTATCTTTTCTTATTGATTCACAGAGGTTCTTTCTAATAATGTGGCTCTCATTGACTACTATAAAATCACAAATGTATTTTGCCAGCATGTCTCACACAGTTTGTGGTATCTTTTGATGAACTGAGTTTTTAATTTTAATATAATTAAATATGCTCATCGTTTTTATTATATACTGTGCTTTTTGGGTCAAGTTTAAGAAATCTTTTCCTATCTTGAGTTATGAGGATATTCTTGCATCTCACATGTTCATTTGGGAATATTTTCTTTCTCTTTGAAGTACAACTAACTTTCTTTCTTTCTTTCTTTCTTTCTTTCTTGTTCTTCTATAAATTCTAATTAGGAAACATTACATTCAGAATTATAGTACTCATAGTGATAATTTTCAGAAGACTATTAACAGCTTCTTTGCCAGTTTGGGGTACAGAGGGTACACCTATTTGCCTGAATGTGTTCTTTAAAAGAATTTTTTTAGCCCTGGCTGGTGTGGCTCAGTGGATTGAGTGCCAGCCTATGAACCAAAGGGCTGCTGGTTCGATTCCCAGTCCGGGCACATACCAGGGTTACAGACCAGGTACCAAGTAGGGAGTGTGCAGGAGGCAACCACACATTGATGTTCCTCTCCTTCTCTTTCTCCCTCCCTTTCCCTCTCTCTAAAACTAAATAAATAAAATATTTTAAAAGCAAAAAAAATTTTAGTGTATTGATTTTTAGAGAGAAAGAGGAAGGGGAGAGAGAGACATCAATTTATTATACTAGTTATTTATGCATTTATTGGTTGCTTTTTGTATGTGCCCTGACTGAACCCAAAACCTTGGTGCATCAGAGAATGCTCTAACCAACTGAGCTACCCAGTCAGGGCTACCTGAATGTGTTTGTAAGTGAGTGACTACCACTCTAATTTTCCTAGTTGAAGCTCTGTTAGAGGTTACTGACCTCAAGTTCATGTTCCAGACTTACTTTGCCAACACAGATTAATTACAAGTGAGCCACCCTCACAGTCTTAAGATGAATTGGGAAAGGGCCGGTTAAATGAAGAAACAGGCCAATCCTTGGTACAAGTTTTAGTTTTCCTTCCAAATTCATCTTTTTATTGAGCACTTCCATTTTTATCTGAGTTCCTCCTCTGCCTTCTCACACTCTGGCTCTATCTGCTGGATTTTGGACACCTGCACCTCATTCACTTGTAGCCGTTGCAGTTGTCAATAGTGTTCTTCCTCATGAGCCTTCTTAAAAGCATCTTCCTGAGAGGTTTTGCTCCCTTACTTTTGTTGGCTGTCATTTTGACAGCTGAACCCCAGCGTTCAGGTTGAAAGGTCCCCTCACATGCTGGGAAATGTATGCACTCATTCTCATTGCACAGTTCTTATAGGAACCAGCACAGATGTTCAGGCTGCAGCATCCCAGGCCCTTCTCCCAAGGGCTCTGCAGGAAGTAGAGCTGCCTGGACAGAACGTGCACAATCTTCTTCTTGCCTAGGGAGGAAGTTCTCAGAAGCCCGCTGACACTCCATTTCACTTTCTCTCTCCCTTTATGGGCCATGATTTTTTCTGTCCCTGCCTTGATGTTCTCCCAGCACTTCTTCAGCTGTTTGAGACCCCTTAGTGATACGTTTGGCTGAGAGTTGTGCTTGTGAGCAAGCGCCTGCCTGCCAGGTATTTGCTTGAGTGCAATAATTAGTGCATCACTTCTTACATTCCAGCACATACCTGTACTTTTCTACTAAAGCAAACAGGATGCTCTTTCCCAGTTCTGAGAAGTATATGGCAGGTTTTATAATTTCTTTGTTTTGCATTTTCTACTCTATTTCTCCTGGCTGTTAGCTATACTGAAGCAGTGGCCCAGTGACAGGGGAGAAGTCTTCAAGCCTAGACTCAACTCATCTCTGCAGGTTAGACCACAGGAAAGGTGGCAGGCTCCGGACCACCAGGTGCCATGGCAACAAAACCTGGCTCCTTGCTGGCTGCCTGCCGCCCTGGGTCAGTGGGCACCTGCTGTGGAGGGTGGGAGAGTGGCTAGGGGCAGTCGTCACCTCCTGCAGCTGCCATGGGTTGTTTCTTTGGGAAGGTCAGTTGTTAGTGGGCAGTTTGATTTATCAGAAGATGTTTTTATCTCCGTGCCCCATGCCACTTGCCCCACGACAGGTATTGGCTCTCATCAGTTCTAGATGTTCTCCTATTGTGTTCTGTGTCTTTCCACATCTTCCCAGTGTGTCTGGGCTTCCACTGTTGTTGTGGTCAGCTGAACTGCTGCCCCTTTGCAGGACTCTGCTTTTGGTTTCCAGTGCTTTTAGACAGTCCATTCTCTCTTTGCTGTTCTGCAGCTTGTGTAGTGGTGATACAATGTATTGAGGTGTGGGGATCTTTATTAACTTTGCTTGTATTCACTTTACATTCAGTATTGATCATACCATTAGCTCAGGCTCTGTAGCCTGCTTCTGTAGTTTGTGGCTTTTGTTAATGTTCAGTCCAGTTCAAGTCTTCCCTTTTATGATTAGTGACTTTGGTTGTGAGCACATGATGTGGAGGCAGCTGGGTTCTGAATGACGCTCTCAGAGACCCTCTGGACTAACAATGCTGCTTCTGCCCAGCTCAGCTAAAAGATACACTTTCAGGTCCTGCTTTTCATAACATACCCCCGGCTTTCTGGGACAAGCAGTTCTCACCTTACAAAAAAGCCCCAGAATTCTCTAACCTAGATACG